GAGGCTTGCTGGGGCCTTAGCCCAGAACATGTACATCATGGCAAGGCCCCTACTTGAGGGCTCGTTCCTCACATTCCATCCCCCTTAGCTTCGAAAGTCCGCTGAGATGCTTACTTCGCAGGTGCCTTCCCTTTTAGCTTCCTTTCATATTCTGCCACCACCTGAGGAGCTGTCTCAATCAGTACCTCCCTGGTGAACCACCGATCTTCTTTGGGATCTGTGTGATGCCTGAATCTGACGCGATATTCTCTCTTGGATTTAGGAGGTCTTCCTCGACCCAACGACTTTGCAACAGGCATGTCCCTGTGATCCACAATGTCGTCGATGTCGACTTGTCCATCCATGGTTGGGGGCAGCATTGATCTCCTAGAAGGAAATTGATCAGTCTCAGCGAAAGGTGCAAGCTTTGAGGCATGAAAGACTGGGTGAGTGCGTAGGTGTCCAGGGACACGAATGACATATGTGGGACCATCCAACTCATCCCCCACTACATCCAAGACTTCCCAGGGACCAAAGTACTGAGGCATTAGTTTACGAGATATTCCGAACTCCTGTCCTAACTCACTAGCCTTGACCCAGACACGTTCCCCTACCTGAAATGTGGACTGTCTGCGATGTTGATTCTCAAAAGCAATCATGGCTTGCTGAGCTCTCTTCATATGTTCAACAGCCTCTTGCAGCAACTTCTCATATTGCACACCGTATTCAAGTGTGCCTGGAGTTGCAGCGGGTCGATTTTCAGGTAGGAGGAAGTCTAGTGCTGATCTAGGCTTCCATCCTAAGTGCAGCTGGTTAGGACTAACGCCGGTGCTACTATGTATAGCATTGTTGTACAGGCTGGCGATGAGAGGTAACTGTTCATCTGATGGTCCAGGATTGAGTGTTTCCATGGATTTCATGGACACCCTAGTGACCAGCAAGAGTGGTAAGAGGCACATTTTCGTCATCATCGACCGATTCACCAAGTTCGCTAGACTAGTACCAATGCCAGAGACAGCCAGGACATAATACGTCATCAAGTTGTTCAAGGACAACTGGGTAAGGGACTTTGGTTTACCAAAGACCATCATTAGTGACCAAGACGTTCGATTCACAAGTGAGCTGTGGAAGAAGACTGCGGAACAGATGGGCAGTCAACTTCAGATGACTTCAGGGAATCATCCCGAAGCCAACGGACAGGCCGAACAAATGAATAGAGTTGTACAGCACTTGCTGAGGCATTACATCAAGCCTAGCCAGGATAAAGGCTTCAACAACCCAAGCGGGGCTTGAGTTCGCGGCTTGTCCTGCTGACAGACCTGACAGGTCTCAACATACTTCTTTGCGTCATCTAGCATTCTGGGCCACCAAGATCGCTGTACTAAGTTAGCACTCGTCTTCTTGTAGCCAAAGTGCCCAGTTGCGTCATGACATTCGCCTAAAAATAAACTACGCAACTGTTCACTAGATGGAACTACCAATCTCTTTATTCCGACCTTATCAAGATAGATTAGCCCGTCCACCATCACAAACTCACTTTCTGTGGCCTTGTCTTTTGCCTGAAGTTTGCGAATGATGTCCATCGTGACAGGGTCTTCATGATAGGCTCCCACCAATGATTGAGTTACTTCATTAGATACGCCAAAGTCAGAAACTAGCGCACCTAGGTAGTCTGCTCTACGGGATAGCGCGTCTGCAACCTTGTTGTACTCTCCCTTCAGGTACTCAAGCTTGAAGTCATATTGGTCTATGACCTCAATCCATCGCTTGAGTGCATCAGAAAGAGTCGATTGAGTCTTAATCCATTGGAGGGTCTGATGATCAGTCCTCAGATAGAAGAACCTTCCCAAAAGGAAGTGTCTCCAATGGACAAGTGCCTTGTAGAGAGCATAGAGTTCCCTTTCGTAGGTGGACTTAGCCAACTTCTTCGATGGCATCTTCTTACTCATGTACTCAATCGGTCTCAACTTTTTCCCATCCTGCTGAGCCAGCACTGCGCCAATGCTGTATTGGCTTGCGTCAGTGGTCACTATGAATGGCTTTTGTGGATCGGGAACCATGAGAACTTCATGATTCATGAGTGCATGCTTCAATTTCTTGAAAGAACCCTCGCACTCATCACTCCAGTCCCACGGTGTGTCAAGTCGAGTTAGATCAGTCAAAGGGGAGGCGACTATAGAATAGTTCTTAACGAAGTTTCTATAGTAGCCGCACATTCCTAAGAATGATCTGACCTCAGTGACTGTCTGAGGTCGTGGCCAGTCTCGAGTACTAGCCACCTTCGCATCTTCTAGCCTAATTCCCTCCGCGGACACTTCATGACCCAAGTATAGTATCTTAGTGCGACTAAATTCACACTTCTCTAAGTTGACCTTATACTTGTGCTGTCGCAGGAGTGAGAAAACTGTCTCAACATGTTGTGCGTGCTCCTCGGCAGACTTAGCGTGCTGGAACGTACCCGACACATTACAAAGACCAAAGGGCATCACTACAAACTCATACAGACCATAACGAGTCTGAAAAGTTGTCTTGTGTTGGTCCTCAGGTCTTATTGCGATCTGGTGATATCCGGATTTCAAGTCTATCTTGCTATAGTACTTGCATCCCTGCACCCTATCCAATAGGTCGTTTATGCGAGGTAGAGGCTCTGCGTTCTTCACAGTGATGGCATTGAGGCCTCTATAGTCAATGCACATCCTCAAAGTACCCCCCTTCTTCGGTACGAATAGAACGGGTGATCCGTAAGGGGAAGTACTAGGCCGAATCCAACCCTTCTCTGTCAACTCCTTAAGCTGTCGCCGAAGTTCATCTAACTCGGCGGGGGCCATCCTATAGATGCTTCCCTTTGGGGTTTTACTCCCTGGAATGATTTATATAGCGTGGACGACTTCCCTTTCAACAACTCCTGTGGGCTCCTCGAACAGATCAGGGAACTTAGCAACAACGCGTTCTATCTCTGGGGGTGTTTTAACGGCCTCCCCCTTCTCAGAGACATAAACAAGGTACATACCCTCCTCTTGGTTCTGCTTATAGTAGTTGTAGAACGCTGATGCGCACAAGCAGCCATAGGTATCTATAATACTACTGGCCTTGAACTTAGTCAATCTGACAGCTCGGCCATCGGGCAACTTATGCTTGAGCACCTTCTTATCCCAGTCGAACTGGGGCTTAGCAACTTCGAGGTAGTACATGCCTAACAACATTTTGAATGGCAAGTCGTCGCTAACCAAGAACGAGATCTTATGGTTAAGCTCACCTCCTCCATAGGAGAAGGTTCAGACTACGTCCTTGATGTAGTCTGTTACAATCATGCGCTCCTTGTTGGCCAAAGTAGATGCTACTGGTCTACTAAGGTGTCGTACCCGGTCCTGTAGGTGGAGCCTTTCCAAACAGTCGCGACTTATGTAATTCCGCGTGGAGCCTATGTCTATGAAGGCACCACATTTGCGTCCTCCTACATCGACTTCCACCACGAAATGTTCCCCTCTAGGACCTTTCCTCAGCGCCACCCAAGACTCGCGAGGGTCCGTGTTTGACCACTCACTCTCCAAGTTCTCTTAAGGCTTCAGACACATCTAACGTACAGAGCATAGTTTGGTCTAGTTGTGTCTGCGGGGTGACTAAGGGGTCATTAGCCTTGGCCTTGTCATGAAGTAGGGAGGGTATCGATCCTACTTCATCTTGAGTAGAAGCAGCTAATACTTCCACTGGCCTCACGTGTTTCCCGAGCTTGAGGCCTGGGAATAAGTTGCCCCCATCTTTGGAGCAACCTTCTGCGTAACCTTAGCGTTCTGGCACTTGTACTGAGAGTGTCCGTATTCCCCGCAGTTGATACAAGCGCCACGCGTTCGGCGGTCACGCCACACATCTTGATCAAGACCTGCCTTAACCCACTCAGCCTGTTTGGTCTGATTGGAGGCGGCCTTGACTTGACCCCTAGGTTGGCCCTTCCCTCGGCCACCTGCCTTAGTCTTTACTACCGCGGCGAGGGTGCTACCCTCAGCTACCTCCTCGCCGTCAAACTCTGTATAGTCCATCAGGTCAGAGAGTTCATCAATCTTAGTTTGAGTCCCATCAGACTCAACCATCATCAACTTTGCTCCCTTCTTCTTCCACTCCTGAGGACTCTTCTTCTTCTTCGTGTCAGTGGGAGAGGTTGGTTGAGCATTGCCTAGTGTGGCCTCCAAGTCTAAGGCTTTCCTAGACAGTGTCTCAAACGAGTGGTACTCAGTGCGTGCCTCGCTGGCTAGCAAGTTCCTAATGTTCTCTGGGAGACATCCGACAAACGTAGTCAATAGGAACTGGTCTCTGTAGTTAATGCCTGGGACGAGGATCAGGCTCTCAACGGTAGTAGTAAGCTCTCTAACTGACATGAACTTGCGTTGGTCTAGTTTGTTAATGGCATCAGCGGCCTTTTGAGCCTCCTGTGGGTTATGCCAACGAGCTTCTACCATTTCCATGAACTGGTCTAACGTCAAAGACTTAGCCCAGTCCGCCATGCGTCTCCCATACCCGGCCTTTATAACTACACCATCTAACCACTTGGCTGCCTTACCCTCCAGGTAAGATGCCGCAATTACCACTTCGTCCTCTAGCAAGGTTCTCTTGGCCTTCACCCAAACCGGGACTGTTCTCAACCAAGTGTTGAGTTCCTCGCCCTTTCCTTCGCCTCAGAAGGCAAGAGGTGGTTTCATTGGGGTCTTAGGATACCATTGAGCCTGCGGTTGTCCAGATTGCTGAACAGGTTGTTGCGGTGGTGTAGCTCCCACAGCTGGACCCGAAGAAGAAGATGCAACAGTCTGTGAGACTGCTGTAGACGTACCACTTGGCTGTGTACCAGCTTGAACTGGAAAAGGGCCTGACATCGTCGATAACGGCAACGGCGATTGTGATGGTGGCCGGAATCTTGGCTTTGTCAACGCATCCAGGATCTGGTCTAGAGTGCTCTGCATGAAGTCTAATTTGTTGTCCACGTGTGCGTGTAATGACAGCATATTCTTCTTCAATACTTTCAGCGGGTCAGTCAATGTTGACTCATCCAAGCCCTCTAATTCAGCCTTGTCAGCCTCTAAAGTTTCAAGCCTGGCTTCTCTAGTTTTCATCGCATTTTCTCTATCGGTAGCTTCTTTCAGGTCCTGCTCTAACTTACGGCGGAGCATCTCGACCTGCTGGATCTCTCTGAGCTCCCTCTGACGCGGGGTCAACGGGCTGAATTGCGCGCCCGCCATTTGACTAGAAGACTGTCTAGAACCTGTGGAACCGGAAGTGCCCGAGGAACTTGTGGAACTCGTTGGCATTTCCAATTGGCCCCCATTAGTCCCTGACGAGGACGCAGATGATGACGCAGCAGAGCTTGCGCCATTAGCCATCGTTGCTGCTCTAGCGGTTGTTGCCTGCTCTCTAGCTGCTGCGTTTGCTGCTGCTATCCCCGCTGCTAGCGCACGGGCTCTACGTAGCCGTCTTTCTTCTCCCTGTTCTAAGGCCTGGAACACGTGCGGTACCCTTAGTGCCTGTGCACGTGTTAGTCTCCTACCGTCAGCTCTATCATCAACAGGATCTGACCCACTCATTAGTTAGATAGATAGTGTCTACACTAGAATCCCCTAGTGGAATCCTACCGCAGCATGCATCTGACCGGCACATAGTTTTCTATAAATAGTTGTGTCCGGCGAGTTCCCTACTATACCGAATCAAGTGGCATGTCTACAACATTCACACAGATTGTCTACATAGTCTAGATGCACCCTGATTGGTTCACTTACAACAGCATTAGTTAGAACTGGCTATGGCAGCATACAACAGTCCTACATTAATCTGTCTGTGAGGTTAGCAGTCCGTCAACCAACTAATCAAAGGTACAAAAAGACAATGTCGCAGATGTATGATTGATGGGTATAGTTGTGTACACAGTTGAGCACCAATTGGAATCTACCCTTCCCCTCAATCCAACCATCCGGACAGCATCTTGAGCAGAGCAGTGTGTTCGTGTGTGTATCGGCCCACCCCTGTGCCCAAGTCAGAGCCAAGTAAGCCAGCCAGCCCACTCTTATTTACCCTCGTACGGAAACGAGCCTTACACCCGGATGATCTGGCTGATCAGGAGGATTATTAAGAGCGCCCCCATCTCTTCAGGAATTCTTGGTGACCGTGACCCAGTGCTTCGACCAGGGCCCTTCAGAGGCACCGCCCTTTCTCCTTCCAGATGCTTCCGGGAAGATTGTCGTCTCTCAAGGTAGTGCGCTCACGACACCTCACGAAGGAGAGGACTCTCAAGTTGGACTCACTTCCTCACGGTAAGAAGAGATTGAGAAGGTAGATAAGGTAAGGGATCAACATACCTGGAGATAGCTGCCCCCAACCACAGATTTTCTCACCAATTGAGCTGATGTTGCATTTGATGACCGGTCATGACCTCGGTACCACCCACAACGCAATACAGTGCCACCTTAGTCCAATGCCACATCAGCATGCTCTCATCATCATTCAAACATTCCGCTGTATCCCACGGCATACACTGCCGTACCAGCCTTCCGGTGCACCCCTCTCTACCCAGGGCGTGCAGCTATAGTGGCCTGACGTCACAAGTACCCACTGCGAAGAAGCATCGTCAACGCACCAAGTCTGTATAACGCCAGCGTGCCAAAGGTAAGTGGCGATCAAACCAGCTCCGATACCAAATTGCAAGGAACATGAATATGGACGAAGCACAGAAATCCAGAATGCAAAATCACACTGAAGTCCAAGTAGTCAAAGCCAAAGCAGATAGCACAT